TCATTGAACCATACGTTTGCAATTGCGAACCGCCAACAAAAGAAGAAATAATCTCCGTTATTCATAAGCTCAAGGCCAATAAGACTCCGGGAGACGGTGTTCGGGCTAAACTCTTCAACTCTTCAAGTGTTCAAACGTTTTCCATCGCCCTTTATAACGCACCTTTACCAAATTTATTCTCTAGTATGGAAAAAAAGAAATACCAGATGACTGGAACAAAACAATTCTGCTCTCAGTTCTCAAGAAAAGTGATACGACATACTGCACAAATTATCGAGGAATCTGTCTACTAGATGCTAGCGAAAATTTAAAATTTTTACTTCTCTTTTACACAACAGACTTATGGAGAATGAAGCTGGATTCAGATCGGAGCGCAGTTGTGCTGACCAGATATTCACATTAAGAAGGGTGTTAGAGCATCGCTTCAGATATTTGCAACCCAATATTTCATCGACTTTGCGGCTACTTTTGATTCAGTTGATAAAAAGGCGCTTTGGAAGGTGATGGAATGCGGGTGTTCCTGAGAAAATCATTAGATTCATTAAGGCATTTTATGAACGCATATCGGTGGAAGTCTATGTGCATATGGGGAGCTGACAGATTCCTTCGAAATAAGAACACATGTCCGTCAGGGCTGCGTCCTTTCCTCCACAATATTCAACTATACAATAGACTGGATAATGGACACTGCTTGTCGGTACTCAAGAGATATCCGAATTAGTCCAGAGCACCGTATCAGAGATCTTGAATACGCTGATAATGTAGTCCTTTTTGCTGACAGTTATAATGAAATGCAAGTAATACTAAATAACGTATCAGAAACTGCAGCAAGAATCGGACTCAGGATCAATGTAAATAAAACGAAAGCATTTTCGTCTTATGTGCAAAAAGTTGATAAAATGCCTCTTTTTGTAAATTCATTACCGGTTGAGGAAGTGCCCGATTTCAAATACCTTGGATCCACTCTAACAGCAAATGGACAGGTAAAAGATATTACAACTCGGATCACGGCAGCTAGAAATGCGTTCTTCCAGTTGACGAAATCTTTATGGAGCCGTCGTGAAATCACCATAAAAACGAAAGCCCGCATCTATATTGCCGTGATCCGTTCGATCTTACTATATGGTTCTGAGACATGGCCAATGAGAGTGGAGGATATTAAGAAGTTATCTGCCTTTGACCACTCTTGCTAAGGTACATATTACGGATCCGTCGAGCGGATAAGATATCACAAGATCGCATCAATCATCGTTCAAATACCACTTGCATAAATAATGTTATTACAAAGCGCCGCCTTCGCTGGTTAGGATACATTCTCCGTCGTTCACCACAGGAGTTGACGCATATTTCGTTATTTGCTAAACTTTGTGACGGATGGTATCAAAAGCGAGATGGGCCAATTAAGACCTGGATTGATACGGTGAGAAAAGATTTTGAACGTTTAAATAGACCAGCAATATATGGACTTAGACGATGGAAAAAGGAATGGTTTCCATTACTGTCGACGATATCATCAGACCGCGCCGCTTGGAAGCTTCTTTCCCTTGTAGCCGTTGGAGCCAGCCTAACCAGTAATGGTGAGAGCTGTTAGAAGAAGAAGAATAGTACTAAATCTTATTTTAATAACTTATCTTAATATTTCCCTTTTAAATCTATAATTAACTATAATTACATAATCCGCCCACCCCGCTATGGAAGCAAATTCACTAGCGATGCGATCTTTACAGTTTTACGTGTTATTCAGATTAAAATTATTTGGTGCCATTTATTGTAATTATTAATTGCTGGTGATCTCAATATGCCAAACCAAACACAGATTGGGAAAATAGTTGCTTGAAAAATAGCAGCAAATTTGAAGAGGGCTTTCTAAACTTTTATATCTATATAGGTCTAGAGCAATATGTTAAGACTGCCACCAGGTATAACACTATATTAGATGTTGTATTAGCTACTCTTACTTCTCTTGTTGATAACATTAAAATCTTGGAACAATTTTGTAATAATGATCGCTCTTGCTTCATTGAAATTAAACCCTTATGTACCTCCCTCGAGATATTCTAGAAATCACCGTTACTGTGATAATGAAATCTTTAATTCTATCCTTAACCTTTAATTTTATTCCGCAGAAATAAACTGGGAAATAAGAAATAAACTTTCTTATTTTATTTAACCACTTCTATTGATGAAAAAGTTAATTTTCTTAATAGCATCATATCTTGTAGAGCAATATATCCCTTTAGGAAAAAAAAGTGTTAGGTCGATTTCTATTTTTCTAAAGTCTCTTAAAAAATGTCAAGGAGCTTTATAGTAAATATTAACCAAATTGCCAAATGGCATCTCTGCACATAAAGAATGTTTAAAAAGTTTCCGTACCGCCATTCGTAATTACTTTTCAAATAAAGAAGAGCAACTTTTAAATGTCAATAGATTCCTTCTGGAATTACATTAAAAAAAAATTTGCAAATCCACGTAAACAAATAATTCTGCAACATAATGACAATCTAATCACTTCTGATATTGATATTTCAAGTGCATTTAATCAATATTTTTCTATTGTATTTGTTGACGATAATATTCATATTTTTTTTAACGTAAATCGAATTTGTTGCATTTCTCTCTGTGAAGTTGAAATAACGCTGCAGGATGTCTATGATGCCTTAAATAGATTTGAGGTGATAAATTTCAATTTCAGCTGATCGCGATAATATTCCACAAATAATTTATAAAAAATTTCTCTGCTGTTTCTCTGAATCTTTCCCTATTTCCAATTTATGAGGATATTATGGAGTCTGGCATTAGTCCCAGAATTTGGAAACTGTCTCATATAATTCCCATTTAAAAATAAAGGAAACACCAATGGCCCTTCTAATTATAGGCCTATTATAGCCTAACATACGTTGGTAGCAAGGTACTCGAAAAATTGATCTGCAACAAATTGCTTATCTTGATGCCAATAATTTTATATCTCCTTATCAGCATGGCTTTTGTAGAAAAAAATCCACTTCACAAATATAGGCAAATTTTTCCAATTGGTCAGCAAGAATTGACAATGAAAAAACAGTATCAATTGTGTACTTAGATTTGGCTAAAGCTTTTGATACTATTTCCAATTTCCAAGCTGTTATCACTCTTAATAGTTATGACATTACAAGGAACCTGTATAACTTGGCGTAGGATTACATAAAAAATCACCAGGCTGTATGTGTCAACAACATTCTTTCTGACATGACAAGTGTTAAATCTGGCGTTCCCCAAGGTAGTTGCAATAGGCCATTGCTTTTTCTATTAAATGATATCACCAAAGTGATACTAAATTTTACCATTTATCTTTATGCTGATGATTGTAAAATTTATTATTCTCATGATAAAGCGGATAACCTATCTCCACTGCATAAAAGGGTAATTTGCCTGCCAAAAACTTTTATACGACGCCAACTGGCTACATGGCAGGCAAATTACCCTTTCTTTTGAAAAGTATAGCGTTCTTTATATCAATTCAAAAGGATTCAATATTCCTAATCTTTTTATTAATGGTAATGTAATGTAGAGTCTTGCACATTTCCGATCTTGGAATAATTATGGATGGAAATCTTGATTTCGACCTTCAGAACCATGGTAAAGAAATCCTCAAAGATACTAAATTTTATTTTTCGTTCGTTTAAGAACAAAGCTAAAGGTCAAAATGTACAAAGCGTTCGTTCGGCCTTTTCTTGACTACAATACTACCTGTTATTCTCCGAGATATCGCAAATCAAGTAAAATAATTGAAGGACTCCAAAAATATTTTATACGACGCCTCCTCTCTCATAACTGTAATTTTAATTATAAAAGAAAACTTATGCAATATACCTGGATTTTCTGTCAGTTCGTCGTATTAAACAAAATTTAATTTATACTTATAAGATTTTGTATGGTTATGTTAAATTAGATTGTTCAAAATATTATAATTTTAGGTTAAATTTAAATCCAACAAGAACTAAACTAAGGACTCACGACTCATTCTTTATTTGTACTATTAATTACTAGAGTGAACGATGTAATTTATACGACATCCTGAACTATTTTTAAAAGAAGATTAGATAATATCAGTTATGATATTTAAAAAGTTCATTCTGATCATACAGGAAGTGTGAAATCTCGATTTTTATCATCCGATTATATATAATACAATTATTTCGAATTCTACTATATTATTTCGTAATTTCCTCTTTATTTCCTCTTCAGATTGTTAATTTTTGTCATCATATTTTTTTTCTTTTTTTTATCAGTAATTATTATTAATTATTAATACAAGCAGATAAACACTTAGCATTTGTCGCCCTACTTGGCTAATTTTCAATAAATAAATTAATATTGATAATTAATAATTAATATTGTTTTATATGCACTCTATTCGTTCAAATACTATTCAAATGATTCTTTATTCCTTGAATTATTTTTTACATTAATTTGCTGTCTAAAAACTTTGTTTAATTTAAAACAATCCAGAATATATGGAACAGGTCACTAAAATTTTTATCGCATCGAATTAAGGATAACAATAACTGCAAAAAGTTAGAATGAAACAGACGTTTCAATTAATTTTGATTTAAAGTATAGCAAAGAGCAAGGAAGAGCGATTACCTGAAAAATTTCTATACTAATTTCTATGCTACTATACATAGTGAATATTTAATTTTGAAAAGACTTTAAATCAAATTTATTTATTTATTGGAAGCCAAGCAGGGCGACAAATGTCATGTGCTTGTATTAACAACAATTAAAATAGCAAATAATAATAATTAATGATAAAGAAAGAAAAAGAAAATATGACAAAAAATAACAATCTAAAAAAGAAATAAAGAGGAAATTACAAAATGATATAATTCGAAGTAACTGTATTATATATGAGTGGATGGTAGAAATCGAGATTTCAAACTTTCTGCATGATGTGAACTTTTTAAATAATATCATAAATGATATTATCTAATATTTTTTCGATTAAATATCAAAGAAAAAAATATTCAGTTAATGTTAACTGAAGGTCTGAATATAAAATTGCTTCTAATAGCTCTATTCCGAATAATTAAAGTTAAAATTTTTTCACAAGAGTTTTTATGACAGATCTAAAAAAAACTAACCCAGGCAGCAACTCAACCAGATCATGAAATTTTTTGCGAAAAATTAGACTGCCAAGTATTCGGGAAATAAAAAAGTTCGCTTTTGGATGACTCTTATCGAACTTCTCAAGCAGCTGTTGAATGATTTTTATACTTGAATTTTCTAAATTTCATAAAATGCTTTCCGATATTAAAGTAGATTATATATCTAATTAAATTCATGAAACCAAAAAAAGCAAAGCAAAAATAGTCATTCTTTAAAAAAATGACAGCTCTAAGAATTAAACGAGAATGAAAGATGAAACATTCCACTGACCTCCCATTACTGGCTGAATCAGATAAAAGTTCAAAAAACTTTGACATACTCGCTCGGAAACAAAATCCATATCAAGTAAATCATAAGTTATTCGAAGAAACAAGTTCACATTTGCTTCGATTGTTATATCTTTTGATCTCTTAATAAAATTCACAACTTATCGACCAGATTCTGTTTTTAGTTGAAACTTTAGTAAGAATCAAGAAAAAAAATAAATTAGTTGTGCAAATAGTTGTGCAATTGTGCGTTTGTTTGTTTTAAATAGCTTAATGATGCATTAATCCTGGTATATTGATTTTGAAATCATTAATCATTTAATTTCATTTGCAAGTTTAACTATTAATCTAACAAAACCACCACGCAAAATTTACAAAAATCTAATATAAATAATGTAAATTTCAGCCAAGAAGAGCAAAACAAGGATTTTGCATTATTTTACTTTATATTACCTGAAACAGCAAAGAAGCAATTGTAAAAATCTTAATAGATATCCTGTCATCAAAATTTTTGAAATCATCGCTTTTGGAATACAATTCGTGAAGTTTGAAAAATTTATCGTAATCCTTCTGTATTAAAGAAAAATCCATATGGTTTCTTATTAAACGACAGGTGTCTTCGCTGCAAAAGTAAAAGTAAATTGATTTATAATCATAACCGCTAAAATGAATGTAAATGCTGCCATTCTGATGTGATATCAACTATCAAAATCATTACAATTTATGTGCATAAGACGATTAAGTTAAATCTAAGATATTAACAATGAAGATAAATTTCCAACCAGTTTATCTTAGACATGCTCTCAAGACAAAAGCGCATTTACGATAAACTATTTTAATCATAAATTCTAACTTTAAAAGAATCATAAACATACTTAAGCAAACTGATTAAGTTATTTACTGAAGCGCCTTTGAAGGGAACATTTCCCAGCCTTAGCATAATCTGATAATGCCGATTAAATTCATTTTTGAAAAAACTGAAATAAATTTCGAGAAATTGCAAATTAATTATACGAATAATTTCAAAACTTTGTTAAGCATGCAAATGTATTTTCAATACAAATTGTTTTATATTGCATTAAAAATATGAAATTTGATCTTTTTATACCTATAGAATCTGGGATTCAAAAATTTAGATAAGTTTATAGTTGAATTCAAATCCAAGTCATATTTGAGATTGTTAATGATGTTTTGATAAATGTAGATCAAAGCAAAACCAGATTTCATTGACCCATTAGGCAGCATCACTTTTTCAAAATATGGCAAAATCTGAAAAAAAAAATAAAATGCCTAAAGAATAAACATATGAACACAGGTAATTCAATAATTCATTAAAAGTGATTTTATGATTTTACATCTGTTGATATATGGGGCTTAGAATGGTTCGGTGGGTTGCTGTTGCTATTCAGTTTGGAGTGCCGATGCTGAGATTTTACTCTCCGCAGAAGTAAATCATACCTATCCAAAAGTTCAGGGTTTTGTCGACGTCCCATCCGTATTTCTATCGTCAAGGGAGCCAGCGTAGTGGGTCTAACCACTAATGGTGAAGGCTCTTGAAAGAAAAAAGGCATATTTCTGACAACTTCTACTCTGTGTAAACAAATTTTTTCACCACAAACATATTTTTTTTCAAAAAATAAGATTTTTACAGAGAATTTTTAGATCAAACCAGTGAAAAAAAATTGGATAATTAATAAATCCCAAAAAGAAACTTTATGACCTTCATGACTCCTTCCTCGCTATTGTGCCGTACATAAAAAATCAGTATATCAAGAAGTATCTTAAGATTATTGAATCGTAGAGTTAAATCATCAAAATTTTTCCCATCCAAAATCTAAAATATTAACATTAATATAAAACTTGAAAAAATATAAAAAAATTATTTATTACTACCCTGTTCTAGAATGAATTTCAGGCTAAATCTATAGCTTTCAAAAAACTATCAAATAAATCTCACAAACGCCATTTCGTCGATTTTCAAACGTTTAGCCTTGGCAAATGCGAACATCAAGCGAAGCCTGGCTTCACTAAAATTGCTGTACTTCCCAGATGACTGTAACGAAAATACACGGAATTTACCCTTCGTTTAGAAAATTTTTATGTAAATAAATTTATGTAAATTTATGTATATATAAGATATAAAAATGAGAGAAATTCAATGGTTCATATGAAGGGCAAATTGAAAGTAATTAATTTTGAAAAAAGATTTTATGAAGGTTTACATAACTCCAAAAGATGGAAAATTAGATTGAAAACCTTGATTAAAGATATCGCATGTTTATTTTGATCAATAAGCGACAGGCCGAAAATTAAGGAATCGAAAATTTGCTGAGTTGGTGTTGAACCGATACTATTTAAATGCTTTAAAATTTCTCTAAAGATAAATCACTCTCAAAAAGTGCTTAGTTGAACAAGGTTCAAAAACAGTTTGAAATATCATAAAGATGCAATATAAGATGTAAAATTATGAAATCAAACCTGGATTTTGGAAATATAGAGAACCTATACTCATTAACTTTTAATGAGTGGCATGTTTTGTCACAAAAATGGAACATTTTTGAACGTTCAACATCTGGCTGTTATCCACAAATAAGAGATAAAAAGAAATATACAACAGATTATGAATATTCCGTTGCAAAGCGCCAGAATTCATTCAAAAATGCAGGAAAAAAAATAAAAACTAAATAAAATAATGAATAAAAACTTACAAAATAGGGGCAATGTCACCTTTTTCACCATATATTCGAGAAATGATGCCAAAAGTATCTGGGTTAGGTTTGATTCCACATGACTCAAACTTTTTCAACGCATCAACTATGTTTATTCTTATACCGTTATCGATTTTTACATCCAGGATGGCATTTAAGGCAGCAATTCCCAACTGTGCTTCTTAAGCAAGAAGGTCCAATATAAATATAATAAATAATTTGAACTATGAGAAAAATATCCAACTACGATGCAATTTAACAAACAAAATTTAGGCAGCTGATTATAAAAATAATATTCCTATGTAATACTCAATGAGGATGAAATTTCTATAAGATGAAAGCATTTCACATTCAAAAAAACCACAAATTTTTGTTTTTGATCACAAAAAAGAAATGTTGTAAAGGTCGTATAAAAAAACCTTTCTTAGTCAAAAGCTGAGTAATTTTTTTTGTCAGATTAAGTCTCTCATGTGATGGAACATCCAGGCAATATAAGCCTGCTGTACGTATTAATAAAGCCTTTTGCTCGTCAGACAAAGTAGCTGCATCAAACGAAGACATGCTTATGAATTTAATGGCATGCTTGATCAGTCTTACTGGTACATACTGCTTCCATTCAATCCTACAAATTAAACTAAGTATTTTGACAGTAACCAGTAAATGAAAGAAAAAACTTTAATATGTTTGCTTATTACCAAAAAATGCAGACCTTTCAAGTATATCAAAAAGTGAAAAAATCTCGTTAGATCGCTGTGGTTTCTTTAATTCTTCGCGTATTCGCGACAAAAAATTATCGCTGAGTTCAGCAGCTCCACCATTTTTCTTTCTATCCATCTGGAAAAATAAGAAAAATAATATTAAAAACATAAAAATAAGCAAATCATAATTATATCAGAAAAGATGAAAAGGTATAGTAAAAGGTAAAAGATAAAATAGTCTACTGCCAAGTAAGGGACTATATAGCAGACAACAACCAGATTCAAAAGTGGCAATCCTTTGTCACCAGTGCTATTGGATTCAAACGATGATTTTTCCAATGCACATGTTGAATCAGGGCAACTCGTGGAACATAAGATTGATACAACGAACCGTGAATGCGATTTCTTGATAAAACTTCCTCTAAATGTTCCAATTACAACAATTTCACAAAGATCAAAATAAGCGGATATACCTATTGAAACTCCAAGACTTAAAAAGACTCTTTCGCTTACAAAATCAGTAAATGAAAAAATTATAAAAAGCCAAGATTATTTCTGGAGATTTATAACCGGCTTTTCCTTTTCAGCCAAAATCAAACAAGAAACTAGCATAAAAAAAGCAAAATTGAAACTTCTCAACGGACACCCTCAACTTGCTTCATTAGAAGAAAAAATTAATAAGCCTCTTTTAAGTTTCACTAAATCCACTGCTGCCAAAGCATTCAAACCTCATCATTTCAAGCCATTTTCAACAAAAATTATATAGAAAAAGATTAGATAATTCACCTGTAAATTTTACTCCTTACCAAAGCGATCATTTGCAGATAACAATGTTTATAACGTTGATAAGTGTTATGTAGTTCAGAAATAATAACCTAATCGTTTGAGCGATATTCTATTGCAAGAAAACGGAATTTTTTTAATAAGAATTAGCAAATTTTCATGAAACTAAAAGCAAAATAAAATACAAAACCATCAATAAAATGCTTCTTTGAGAAAAATTAACTATTTTTTTAATATTTTTTCACCAATCATAATCTTGAAAATGGACCCATACCAAAAAAATACTGATACCTTAAAAAATGACTTAAATAATAACATGGAAAAAAACGATCCAAGATTCAATTTCGTTTACCCAAAATCATTAATCAATTTAATAACAAATAAAACAATTTACAATAGAGAATAACATCGATTATTGTCGTAAATATCAATATTGAGGATTAAAAAAGCACTTTCCAGTCTATAAGAAGAATTTCGCATAAAAATAAAAGATCATGCATAGCGAAGAAAAAAGCAATATCTTAATCAATGTTAGGTAAGTCATGGAAAAAAAAAATCGCCCAATTAAGAAATACCACTTCACGGAAAAAGCACCCTTTACTTAATAAAAACTAAATAAAATATAAAAATTAAAAAAGTTGAAAAAAGGAGCAAAATGAAAAAAATGTCAAAGAATAACAAAAACATGAAATAAATCAATAAATCAAATCTATTCAGTATTATATATCATTCAGTGAGAAATTATACAAGATTTCCATCCGCATCAAATTTCAAATCGAACAGGGACTTAATGTACTTCCTCTCGGAATTCTGACTGTATGCAGGATCTGTTTTCGATGTCAAAGATGTCTTTTTCCTGAAAATTTTAGCCGATTAGATATAAAATAAATTATTTTTTTTATAAAATTTTCGATTTATTTAATTTTAGGAAATAAAATAAGAATTAGGAAATAAAATAAGAATTAGGAAATAAAAAAGAACTAATGGGCCTCATTAGAGCTTTATAAAAATGATCTAAATATATATTCTCGATCTACTGCAGCCAATTTCCGCAATTTGGAGAAAAATATACATTTGAGGGTCAGAACTTCCTGATATATATTCATCTGATCTCTTCGACTGTATTCTTGTTCCTTGAAAAAGTCTCGCTTGAGCTTTTAAAGCGTGTTCAGCTGCTTTCATTTGAGCCGTCTGCAATGTGTGGCCACACCCGCTTGCCAATCTTCTACCTCTGCAACACTAATTTCAGTGAACTGATAAATTTCTGACATCAGACATTAGATTAAATAAATAATATCGTTTGTATTTTAAGTATTAGTAAATATTAGTAAATATGTTAAATATTGGTGATTCGAAAAAAAAATCGGGAAAAATAAGAAATTTAAGACTTAAGATAATTTTAGAATTAATTTAGTAATAGTCCAATAGTTTGAGGCAAAAAAAAATTTGGAACAGAATTCGAACTTTAAAAGAATGAAAATAATTCCAGTTATACTGATGAATTAAATGAATTTATAATAACAAAACTTAATTAGAAATGTTTTCCTTTCTCGAATTCTTCAAAAAACTAAACACAAACCGAAAATAAACTGCTACTTGATAAACTCGAGTGTTTGTTGGCCCAGCCACTCCTATTGTTTTATATTCTGGAATATCAGGAGTCCCACCATCAATCTGGCGTAATGCTAAACATCGCTGTTGAAGCTGTGATTTCGGATCATTCCACCGTTGAGAAAGAATGAAAAGCTGAATTTAAGTCATTTGAATTTGCAAATGAAGGATGAAGTAATGCAGATAAAATATTAAATTAAATATTAAAATATTAAAAAAAAAATTAACCTTGAAACGAGGAAAAAAGCAAACGCGACAAAAAATCTTGCAGTAACCCAAACCTCGATCCACATACAAAGCACCAATTAGCGCTGAAAAAAATTTTTAAAAAATAAGACCATTAAATCAAAACATTTTCTTTTTTAAGCATCACCATTACTGGTTAGACTCGCTCCTCCGGCTTGTCGCACTAGACAAAAGGGTTTCTTGATGATAGAGATATTGGTGAATCGCCAGCATCATCCGGATTTTTGGAAATTCACTCATTCTATTCTCCTTTGTTTTTCTCCGTTAGGCGACACTACCGCATGATAAAGTGTGCTACATCGGTGGATTCAATATATCGGTGGTTTCAAATTGAAAACACTTACTGTTTATTAAATTTTGAAACCAGCAATTTAAAATCCTGAATCCTTGATGAAACTCATTTATTCAATTCGGTACAAAAAAAGTTTCATAAGAAACTGAGCTCCTATTTTTGTGATTTTTATGTCCCTCTAAGGGAAATTGAAATTGAATAAGTACTATAAAACAAATACCTTCAACCAGATCTGCTTTATCTTTAAGTTTCAACGTCTGTTTACGATTGTTCTGCATTACTTTTGGTGTTACTAAATAATTCGCCATACCTATATCATCGCAGATAATAGACTGTGTCTTAAATAAAATGATAAAAATAAATTTGAAAGCGAAATCAAAAACATCAAATCACAAAAGCAATCATGAGATAGAATATAATTCGATGAGATGTTTAAAATTATTAAAGAATTTTCTCAAAAAACTGGCAACCTTATTACTAACTACGCAAGTACGAAGAATTGAAAGATGTCCTTCATGATGGTATGGAAAATGTTTATACAAATAATCTGTAGTGATAAGCTGCAGTACAGTATCACCCAAGAATTCCAATCGTTGGTTGTGTCCACTGAAAAAGATTAAGACAAAAATTAGAAGCTCAAAATCAAACTTATAAACACGAAAAGCAAACATAAAAAAATAAATAAGAATATTTCCATACAATGTTAGGTTATTAAATCCGACACATTTCCTTGTGAAAGCTTTCGCCAGAATTCGGATATGTTTAAAAGTTACACCGATACTTCGCTCAAATTCAGTTAAGTGCTGCAAAGCTGACACATCCTGTATCAAATGACGATCACCTTGGGGATAATCACGCTAAAAAATATTGCATTGTTCTAGAAAATAGGGCAATTTTCAATTTAAAAATGAAATGGAGATGTAAAAAATAAAACGAAACGAAAAAATATAAATTCACTTTAAGTGGATGTTCTTCCAGAAAAAACCAAGCGTCACGAAGTTCATCATCCTGGAACATCGCCTCGCCAAATATCCTGCAGGGATGAAATATTACTTGTAGAAATTCAAACTGAAACCGACGAATTTTCATTGATGTGGTTAAATCCGGATATTATTGAATAAAACATCATCATCATACAGCTCAATGGTGCAAAAACTTATCCACAGCAATTTTTATTTCCAAAAAGGCCGAAATAAGAACCTATCACAATCGTCGATACCAGAATCTAGATATACAGCAGCCATCACAGCTTCAAATGTATTTGCCATGGCATGTCTCAAATCAGATTCATGGCAAAGATCTGGTCCATGAGCATACATCATAAAATCATCAATACCAATTTTCTGAAATTTAAGCGAACTTGACAAATTATAAGTTAAAAAAAACCATAAAAAGAATTTCCCACTGAAAAAATATTGCGATATTTTTTATATTGTATTATATTATATTTATTTTATAAATATTGCGAAAAAAATATTACTTACTTTCGCCAAAGAAGCTAGATTTTTATTTTGAACCATTGTAGAACGATAAGTCGCCAATGCACCCTCATCCAAATCCGGAAACATATAGAAAAGGTGGATAGTAGTAAGGAATTCAATCACTGAATCGCCAAGGAACTCAAGCCGTTCATTATGATTCAGTGGTGATTGTTCTGTTCTTTTTGAACCAAGCTTTGACATAATTTCCATTAAAGTCCGAAAACCTTTAAAAAGAAAAATTTTTGATTTTTTGAATAAATAATTAATCAATGATTAAATGATTAAATTTCTAAAGTGTTCTTATAAATTAGAAATTAATGACGCGAGTGAGCGGACGAGTCGATTGATTATTTCGATTATACAGTAGATATTATTACGATCATTACGATCGACGAGAAAGCTGGCATCATGCATTAATAAAAAAAAGTGTTGAGCATTAGTAAAATACGAAAGACGATTACGAAATACTGAGACAAATCCTAACGATATTGTCTCAATTATGAAGTACCAGTTATGACGTGGAATCAGAAACATTACCGCCAATAGTCGAAAATGAACTACCCTAGAAAATCTACAGCCAGATCAGCAAACTAGACGATAATGACTCAAATTTGAGAGATTTGTAAGAGAAATTTTACTGAAAAGGGAGATAATGACAAACACGATCAATTAAATAGAAATCAAGAAGAAACAAAGGAATCTGAATTAGAAAATGTCGAAATAAAACCAAAGAACGATCAACCGAATCCAAAAGACAGCACAAACAAACGCCACATATCAGCCTATTTCAGAACAAAACCAAAAGTGGGTGGCACAAATAGAAAATGTGCATGTTGTAAAGAGAAGCACTGGAGTAATGCCTCCTAAACTGTAAAAATTTATCATGACAGGAGACAAATAACAAAGAAGAACGGATTTTGTTTCATTCAAGTGCTTGAACGATAGGTACAAGCAAAGGATTGCAGTTACAAAGCAAAGTGCTTTTACTGCAAAGGTTAGCACTGATTAGTATTGTGTAAAGATTGGAATGTCCTTCAACAAAAACTTATTTATAATCACGAACTGCACAACCAAAACGAGAAACATAGATAGAGAATAAAATATCATTATTGATGTGTTGTGGAGTCAAAATTTGAAATCCAGATGATCCATGTTCTCAGTGTACTACATCATTATTTGACACTGGAGCATTTATTCTTACAAAATCTCTTGCAAATCTTTTGCAAAATTCAGTCTGACCTGTTACGAAAGAGGAAATTATGAAAATAAATACGTTTGGAAGTCCTTTTTAATTAATTTACTAACATTTTATTAATCAAGCCAATTTCGAAATAAAAACAGAAACGAACGACCCAAATAGAGTGAAGGCATATACCAAAAAAAAATTAATACAACAGATTCAACGAGCAAACATTATTATAAGTATTATACTATAAGAACAACCGAATTTATGCAAGAAACTTTCGGCACCAATCATGTCTAAAAAACCACAAAAAATTGTTGGTATCGATTTCTACAAAAGATTTGTTATTGGACGACCAAAACGGCTAACCTCTAATTTTAACTTGTACCATAGTAAGGTAGGCAAATTTCTAGCCGCTTTGAGTCAATAAATGGCCATCTGCCATCATACACAGCAACTATTAATCCCGTAACGAATGACAACTTAGACTTAGACCAGTTCTAGTCACTAGAACGAATGGGGATCGAAGCAACGCAACAATGAATGACTTAAAACAATTTGCTGACAGTGCGGAAATAACCGAGAAAGGGCGATACCGAGTCAACTTACCATGGAAAACAACGCAGCGAAAATTACCAAACAACTACGGCAAATCACTTAGGCGTTTGAAATTGACGATTAAGAATCTCTGCAACCATCCAGGCGGAAATAAACTAGAGGAATATGATCAAATCACTACCTCACAGTTCCAAAACAATATTATAGAGAAGGTAGAACCACCTTCAGCAAATTTCGATTTAGTTTTTTAGTTTTTTTATCTACCATATCACCCAGTATTCGCGCATGGAAAAATAAAATCACGTATCGTATTTGACGCGAGCGCAAAGGATGGAAATGGTGCATCCTTAAACGACAATTTATTACGGGGACCGGTATTGCTCAATGGTTTAATAGGCGTATTATTTAGGGCGCGAGGAGAAAAAAAATCATAGTAACATCAGATCAGATATTGAGAAAACTTTACACCAAATTAAACTCAACACGATAGACCGCAAGACGATTCCTATGGTTAAAGGATATACCAATAGGAAAGGATAATGTACAGATATATCGCTTTACAAGGGTTCCGTTTGGACTGATTTCAAGTCCTTTTTTATTAGCTGCACTCGATCGTCCAACCATCTCGCACCTTTCAACCGCCATCTCGCACATTTGCTTTACCAGCTGCACAGAGATTTTGAAAAATATTTACATTAACAATTAATGGTGTCTGCAAAAGATACTTGAAAAGACTTCAACGACATGCTAAAGGACTTATTCGGAAATCTAAAAATGAACATACGAACAAAAATGAACAAAAAAATGAACAGCAAGTGAACAGCATATGTTAAGTAATAATCAACAATTCAACGAAAAATTAACGATAGAAGCACAGCACAACCGAAAATGTGAAGTTACTAGGTATTACCTGGGATCATATGGAAAATATATTTACAGATATATAGATAATACATATTCCGAACTCAAGTCATGTACCAGCCACTAAACGACAACTGTTACAATATGTTGCTTCGATTTTGATACATTGGGCCTATATTATTACCCTTGAAGATCCATCTGTAGAACTTATGGAGGCAGAATGTCAAATGGGATGATCAACTGGAACCCGAATTACAACAACCCATTCAAAATATATTTAAACACTGGGAAAATTTATCTATCACCTTTCTCCGCCAGATACGATTTGGAACTTAGTGGAAATACACTGCTTCTGCGACGCGTCAGCAGATGCATACGCAGCAAATATATATTTGCGATATAATTAAGGTGAATAGAAATGGAAATCTGAGTTGATCTTTGCAAAAAGTCGTTTAACTCCAATAAATAAACTAAAGATAGCTAAAGCAGAACTGTTGATAGTAATAATTTAAGAATGGTAAATTACTTTATCAAGCACCTGGAGTTGAATAAATCCATGTGAACAGACAGTCGAACCATACTTTATTGAGTAAATACAAACCAAGAAAGGTTACAAAGGTTACGATTTTTTGTAATAAAATATTGGAAATAGAAAATTAAAAGCCGATATATTTCGACAACAGACAACCCGGCAGACATAGGACGAGAGGATTGAAATTACAAGACTTGAAAGGAAATATCTTATGGTGGCATGGACCAGACTGGTTAACGAAAATAAATACTATCTGGCCTACAAATTTACGATTAGAAAGAAATGAACAGATTCAAAAAATAGAGGACGGTATAGAATTTGAAAGATACACATGTTTTGGTTACGATGTCAAAAATGGTACCGAAATTACAATCTATATTAAATTATGAAAGAACGTGTCAGAAACTGCAGCAAGAATCGGACGATCGGACTCAGGATCAATGTAAATAAAACGAAAGCATTTTCGTCATATGTGCAAGAAGCTGATAAAATGCCTCTTTTTATAAATTTATTATCGATTGAGGAAGAGCTCGATTTTAAATACCTTGGATCCACTCTAACAGCAAATGGACAGGTAAAAGATATTACAACTCGGATCACGGCAGCTAGAAATGCGTTCTTCCAGTTGACGAAATCTTTATGGAGCCGTCGTGAAATCACCATAAAAACGAAAGTCCGCATCTGTATAGCCGTGATTCGTTCGATCTTCTTATATGGCTCTAAAACATGGCGAATGAGAGTGGAGGATTATTAAGAAGCTATTTGTCTTTGACCACTCTTGTCTAAAATACATTTTATGGATCTGTCGAGCGGATAAGATATCACACGATCGCATCCATCTTCGTTCAAATACCACTTGCATAAATAATGTTATCACAAAGCGCCGCCTTCGCTGGTTAGGACACATTCTCCGTCGTCCACCACAAGAGTTGACGCATATTTCGTTATTTGCTGAACTGTGTGACGGATGGCATCAAAAGCGAGATGGGCCAATTAAGACCTGGATTGATACGGTGAGAAAAGATTTTGAACGTATAAGTAAACCAGCAATATATGGACTTAGACGATGGAAAAAGGAATGGTTTCCATTACTATCGACGATATCATCAGACCGCGCCGCTTGGAAGCTTCTTTCCCTTGTAGCCGTTGGAGCCAGCCTAACCAGTAAGAGCTGTTAGAAGAAGATTATGAAAGATAATCAGTAATCTTAGAAGGCTTCGACGGGTAATGGCGTACGTATTAAGTTTTGTCAACCTTATCAATAAGAGAACACGAGATTATTGCAATCGGAAGAATTCAACTGGTACAATAACTAGAACAAGCCGAGAAGATCTTAATACAACAAGCTCAAGGACAGGATGTAAAGGAAGAAGACATCCATAAATTTGGCCTAATAATTGAAAACGATTTGTGGGTCTTAAAAGGAAAATTCGAACAACCACTGATCTCCTAGAAGTCACCGAATAACCAAATTAATTATTGTGGACAAACACCAACAATTCTAAAATGCATCGACGGATAAACAGTATGTTCCATAACCGAAACTTATTGGATATCTAAACGCATTCAAACAATAGGAAAAATTATCAACAATGAGTGCATATATTGTAAAAGATGGAGAGCCAAGCAATTCGAGTTACCAACGATGAACAAATTTCCACAAATACGAATAAATGGGAGTTCCACCTCTTTTTCACATATCGGAATAGACTTGGCGGGCTCGATTTGGATCAAACAAGATGGTTAAAAAGTGAAAAATTGGATCGCCTTATTTACTTGCCTTGCCACAAGTGCGATTCACTTAGAACTCGTTGACGACTTTAAAGCAGAAAGTTTCTTACCTTCGCCATCTCATCGCGCTCAGAGGGAAACCGAAATCATTACTATCAGACAATGCAAAAAACTTTACTCTATCTAAAGATACAATATACAAGCTGATATAGCGGAAAACAAAATGGAATGGAAATTCATTCCCAAGTACGTCACATGGGCTGGTGGAACGCTTAAATGGAATTATGAAAAGGACTTTAAGAGTAATAGTAGGAAATACAATCACAGACCGAGATCGACTCAGAACCCTTTTGTATGAGATCGCAACTGTGGTAAACGAGCGACCACTTTGCTACATAACGAGATAAAATCTTGATTTTGTTCGTCCACGTGACTTACTCATGCAACAAAACCATGGATCGTAGTCAACACGGTCTAGACAAGAAATACGAGAATACGAGATAGAAAATAAAGACATGAGAGATCAAATTATTGAAAATTGGACGAAGGATACTAGAATAATCGCACATTTTTGGGATTTATGGCGCAAAAAATATATAAAAACTTTGCGCGATAGACGAGTTTACCACAACCAATCAAGAGTAACCACAAAATGATCACCTCCGATAGATGAAATTATTCTGGCAGATTCTACTCCAAGATCGCAGTGGAAATTGGTTAGAATTACAGTTCTACATCGAAATTCCGATGACAAGATACGCTCAGTTTCATTAAAATTGGCTAACAAACGGACAACCAGTCAACCAATCAACTTAATAGCTCCATTAGAAATAAATGAAAACGTTGACAAAGACGAGGAACGATTCAAGTTTGGCTATCAAAGATCCCTCCAAGAGTGTGCTCAAAAATGAATAAAACACGAATCAGCATGTCGAAGTGAAAGATCATCAATCTTATGAAGCACAAGTCACAGAGGTGACCTCTAACTGAGACGGTTATATAGGACCAATAATTTCAATCATGGGAAGATTAATGACAAATATCAACTATTATAGCTATTACACTTCGTTTGCAACTTGTACTTTTAATGTTTTATGTGATTAATGATGTTCTATATTGTCTCGATTTAACGATAGATTATGATACTTAAACGAAAAAAGGCTAAAGATTACATCACTATAATCTGAGAGCTTTTTTTTGTTACAGTCATGCAAACATCACTTGCTTGACGCTTGATTCCTCTTCTTCACTTCGAATCTACAGCAATTATTAAACGTGGCACGGAATAAATGTGTTGGCTATATTATTGTGGCGTCCTGGATAATTGATGAATGCCACTGTGATATATGACAAGGCTTAATTCGTTTTGCTTTGATTGCGCAGATAAACAACCATATAACCGACATCCGACATCTATCCCGATATGATCAGTCGGAAGAGAATGTAATAGGCGCATAGGTAACACTGCGCCATGATGGGATCTGTGGTTGGCAAACATCATATCGAGATCCGGTGAATCAGTGAGCGTTTTTTAGCTTTGTTGAGGACATGGACTTTATGCGACCAGTACATGTATCGAAGACAAGTAGAACTGCCTGGATAACCAAAATTCCAAACAGATTGTTCATATTTTGGTTAATCATCGTTCCGCACTTGATGCCCGCTCCTATCGCCGCGTTAAAATTAGCAATCTTCATAGATCACACCATGGATTCAACACATAATTCGCATGAAGCCGACAACATATAGGAAACAGCGTCCCCTGAAAATCTTTCAACCATCTCAAGCTAAAAGATTTGGATAAATGCATTTAAAATTGAAACGATGTAAGAGACGACTCTCGAATGGCCGATAATATTGGTTCCACCTAAAATATTCTCAGAAAGGGGCATATCCAAGCTGAATATGCCACTTGAAAATGTGCTAGTGGAATATCGAAAGATGTCCGAAAAGGCTGCCTAATATGCATGTCATCTTAGTTACTGAAGACATGCAACAATAGCAATAGGGCGCAACAATTAGAGCGAAATGAATAATAAGAAATTTATCTTATTTTACTATCGTTACAAATTACCCATGATTCTGATCAGCAAAATGATCGAAGATAATGATAACGATCTTGAGCGAGTTAAGATGACTAAAAATCGCCTTGCATGGTGGAAGAAATTTTCGAGACTAAACTTGACCACACGATACACCATCTACCATCTCGCACATAGCTCGCCACGCAATATGTTTGTGACTGCGATCTATAAACAGAATAAGAAATAATCTCCATCATTCACAGACTTAAGGTAATCAAACTTCCTGAGATGGTATTCAAAGATGAAGTTTTCAAATATTGCCCAACGTCCTCCACCTAATCTCTGGTATGTTATAAGGAAACTTAAACAGACGAATGAAGAAAAACAATTGTGCTCCCAATTCCCAAAAAGAATGATAGTACGTATTGATATTACGTATTAATAATAGTACGTATTAAGTATCGAGGAATCAGCCTATTAGACATCTCCAGGGAAATTTTCTCTTCCCTCCATATGAATAGACTTATGGCAATAGACTTACGAGATAGCAGGATGCGCCCAAATCAAACTAGATTTAGAGTGGGTCACGTATGTTCTAACCACATAAACATTCAACCTTAGAAGAACGTTGAAACATTGCTTCAAATATCAGCAACAAACCGTTATTTTATGGATTTCGCCACTTTATATTCTACTAACGGCTCCGGTGACGGAATATGACGGTATTCCAGAAATCATTCGGCTCATAAAGGCATTTTATTATAATAATATACATCGAAAGTAATATATGGTCCGGGCGTATAATAATAAAATTCCAATGCACAAGCATAAAAGAGGTATGTGCATATGGGGAACTGATTGATGCTTTTGAAATCCATATGATTTGAAAAATGATTTAAGTAAAGGCTAAATCCTTTCAATGTTCAACTATATTGAGGACTTCATGAGTGCCGAAAAGGTGCTCTGCTCATTATAATCAATAAATTAATACAAGCTATTTTTATCATTTGACTATATTATTATCTTATAATTTACCATTTATTATTTGTTATCTACGAATCGGATAAGTTTTTTTCTTTTCTTTTTAAAATTTTTAAAATTTTTTTTGCTTTTTTTATCTTTAAATTTCTCTTTTTTAAAATTTAATTATCTCTTTTCTCTGTCTTTTACAGCGGTGAACTTATCATGACAACTTTCAAATGTGAGTAGTTGCTGAGGACCCAGCTGCATCTTTACCCCCAAGTGACTCTATGGTGAAAGGATCAGATCTCTTTGACATGACATCCGCGTCTCTTGACGCGAGTGATATCCCCAGTCCAGTGATCGTTTCAAATACCAGCAACCCACCGTCACTTGCTTTATCGATTTCTTCGACTTGCTTGATAGAGCAGCACTTTGGAAAGTCATGGAATGTAACGTCAGAGAAGATCATTCGGCCCATAAGAGCATTTTACCAGCATACCTTGGCACAAGTATGTGTATATGGGGAACTAACAGATTCCTTCGAAATAAGAACTGGTTTCCGTCAGGGCTGCGTCCTTTCCCTTACAATTTTCAACTATGCGATAGACTGGGTTATGAACACCGCTTGTCGGCACTCAAGAGGTGTGCAAATTAGTCCAGAAAATAGCATCATAGACCTCGAATACGCTGATGATGTAGTCCTTCTTGCTGACCGTTATGATGAAATGCATACAATATTAAACAACGCGTCATCAACTGTAGGGGAAAATGGACTCAGGATCATTATAAATAAAACGATAGTCTTTTCGTCGTTTTATATAGAAGCTGATAAAATACCTATTTTTATCAACTCATTATCGGCTGAGGAAGCACTTGACTTTAAATACTTTGGATACACTCCAATCCCAAATAGTCATGCAAAGGATGAAACTATAACCCGGATATCGACAGTTATTTTTCCGGTTGATGAAACCACCATGGAACCGTCGCGAAATCACCATGAAGAAGAAAATCCGCGTCCATATGACTGCGAAACATGGTCAATAAGAGTGGAAGATATTAAGAACCGTTGACCATTCATTTCTAAAATATATTGTATGGATCCGTCCAACAGATAAAATCGTACATGTATCCATTTTCGCTCAAATACCACCTGTATTAATAATGTTATCATAAAGCGTCGCCTTCGTTGGTTACGGCATATTCTCCGTCGTCCACCACAACAGTTGAAGCATACTTCGTTACTTGACGAACCCTGTGATGGTTAGCGCCAAAAGTGAGGAGGGACAATCAAGATCTAGAATGATATATTCAGGAAGGATTTTGAACGTATAGGAGGACAAGGAGACCAACGATATATGTATTTAGAAAGATGGAAAAAGGAAGAGCTTCTATAACTGTCGACGATGGCATCAGACCGAGCAGCTTGGAGACGTTTTACCTTTGTAGCTTCCGGAGCCAGCTTAACCAGCAATGGTGACAGCTGTTAAAAGAAGAATTTTCAACTATGTTACATTAACTATGTTACATTAACCCCTACAATATTCAGCTATGTAGATTGGATTATGGATATAACATTCTTTCTGGTATTCCAGAAATCAGTCGAAGATATAGTATCATAGACCTTATATGCTGATGATGTAATTCTTTCTGTTTATAATTGTGAAGAAATGCAACAGATGCTAAAAAATATATCGACAAATGTCGCAGAAAATCGGACTTCGAACTCAGTGAGGATCGATGTAAATAAAATGAGTCTTCTCGCCTTATATATCAAATGTTGAAAAAATATATATTTTTATCAATTCGTTATGGACTAATAAAATGTCATACTTTAAATATCTTGGATTCACTATATAATACCAAACTGCCATGCGAAAGACTAAACTGTAGACCAGTTAGCTGCAGCTAGAAGAATGTCTCTTTCGTCTGGCGAAGCCTCTATGGAATCGTTACGAAATCAACATCAAAACGAACTTTCGCATTCTATTTAGCTGAAGTGCGTAATAACTCGTGATATAGTTGCGCAAAATGGCCAATGAAAGCGGAAGATATCAAGATATCAAGATGTTATCTTTGACCATTCTTGTCTAAGGCATATTTTAGTTACACAGATAAATCATATGATTACATTCACTTTCGTTCACATTACCTGCATTAACAATATTGTCTCAGAGTATCGTTGGTTAGGCCATGGGTATTCTTCGCCACCCATCGAAATGGACGGTATCAAAAGCCAGAAGCACCAATCAAGACATGGACCGATATAATCAACAGAGATTTTGAATATAGACTGCCTAGCGAAATATGGATTTAGAGATGGAAGAAGTAGACCAGATTAATCACTAAAGATGGCAGATATAAAAGAAAGAAATTAAAAGGAAAAGACAGGAATTTTTAAAATAATTCATTTCTTTCGGACATCTTTAAATCTAGAATTATATATTCTTCATATTTTTCAATCTTGATGAAATAATATAAAAAAGCTAAAAACAAATGTATTGATTATTGATTTTATCATAAATCAATCTTATGTAAAGATGAAATTTTGCTTCGTCAAAATGACAAAACTGAAATATTCCTACCTCGCTTCCTGCCGTTCCAAATTTGCTTAATAGTTCGATCCCGCTTCCAGTGTTTGTCAATACGTACTCCACAATTATTTAGTGTATTTCGTGCATGATCAGCATTTGTGCCATAATTCATACGATAGGATGAATGTGTTAAAGCTAATTCTAACAGAAAACGGTTCTGTAAAGATTATAGAGAATTTTAGAATTTAATTTACAAATAGCAAAAATATGTAATGAATAATTTTAGTAACAGAATCTTGCATATGTGAAGGCTGTAAATCGACTTTTAAGAGAAAATTTGAAAAGGATACCAAATGTGTTAAAAAATGTTTTTTAAATTTCATTACTAACTGAATAAGTAGGAAAAAAAAGATAGCAAATAACATAAATAAAATAAGTTCTAAAAAAACAAATATAAATGCGATAATCAAATATACGGCGATTAGAGAACAAGAAAATTTTCAGAATCAGAAAATGACTGAAAACACACAGATACAATAAAATCTATACCTTAAAGACGTAATGAATACGCTCTTCAAAAACTTGCAACGACCAATGTAAACGAACGTGAAAAGAAGCTAGAATTAAAAGCATAGCATGCTGAAATAATTGTCTGAATTACAACAAAGTAAATTTACTTATGGAACACATCAAAAAAATATCTATTTAAATTTGTATATTTACATTTTACATTTTATATTTATATTTGAATGTATATTTACTTTTCATCTGCTTTTTGAAACTCGTCTTTAATAGATTACAATTTTTGATTAAAATAATAATCAGCACTTTCATTTCGCATTTAAAAATTCTCTTTCTTTTGCCATAATACAATGAAAAAATCGAAAAAGAACCTGTACAATATCAGGGTAGAAACCAGTCTGATAAAAATGCTGGGCGGATACTGTCATAACAAAACTACGTTTCAATTGTCTACAAACATAATTTACTTTAAAAATAAATTTACGATCAAAAGTAAATAAATCTATGATGACCTGAAGCAGCGTGTTTACTTTAACAGTGTAACCAAATGATCAAGATACCTTAAGCAATTAACTCACTTATCACTTCGCAACTTTCGCATGGTTGATGCCTTTTGTGATAGACGTTGCCTTTCCTCTGCAGTAATTCGAGCCTTCAAGCCCAACGTTTTTCGCATACGCATATATTCTTTGGAAGCTTTTTGAAACCTTAAAAGTATAATTAATAAAATAATGCAGTCTCCTAATGTATTATAGTAATGCAGTCTCCTAATTAATAATTAAGGGCACAATATAATTCGAGCACAAAAATATAAAAAATTAAGAAATATTCATATCGAACTCAGGATTAGAGCTGTATGAACGGCAAGACGACCGAATACCAAAATGGGTAATAAAGGGATGCATGGAATCATGAACGTTTGGTTGCTCAAAATCAACGATGTCGGCACGTATAGTCGATGGTCTCTACAAAAAATATCACAAGAATTTAAATGGAGAATTTTTGATCGATTTCTCCTTATTTGCATATTACGTTGCCATTCCATTAAATGGATTATGAAAATGGATTAAGCCTACTCTCAAAAGATAATTAAAATTAAATTAAATTTAAATTAACCTTGCATGGATTCATTATTAACGCGCCGCGATATCTTTCCTTGAATTTCCAAGATGAACTCATTCCATGAGTCAACATAAGAGTTCCGTACTCTTCAACCAATGGTCGATAACTTTCGATGAGATAATTCAGTACCACTGGCATAGGAAGAACTTCCTTACGATTACCTATAACAGAAACAATTTTAGGAAAAAATTAAAGTCAATAAACCAGCAAATATTGCTAATATGCATAAGTACAAGAAATCGAAAGCACAGTTCTCGTATAATTATTCGAATTTTATTCAAGTATGCTTGAAATAATTGGTTAAATATACAATGAAGAAAGAAAAATTTGAAGTAAAAGTTAATATAGGCAACAACGGGAAAAAATAACCAGGTAATATGCGCACATATCGTGGCATGCAGTGATAAAATGGACAACCATCAGTAACATCAAAAGCACGCCTTTTCAAATCATACATTTCCATTATATGATCGAATAAATATTCATGAAATAATTCCACATCGCCAACAGTGAAACCCTTTATAAAAATAATCGCCATTAAAAATCAAATGAGATAATTACAATTAACAGCAAAGTTAAGGAAAAAAAACCTCTGGAGCACTTTCTTCTTCAAAATGTATCTTATAATCTGCAGTCCAACGAGCCAAAGGATCTTGAGGAAAAAAGACAGGCACCGGTTTATGAAAAAACACTGAGAATCCTTCGAATTCATAAAAATTATTCTCATATTTTATCGATGAGCAACGACGAGATAAGATCTTTAGATTTGGTTCAACTTTCAATACATAATGATGAAGACGACTAAGATTACTGCAAAAGAATACGTAAATTCTCTATACATAAAATATTTGAAAATCTTTCATATAATTAACGCATAAAAAGAAGAAACTACTTACTTAGAATTATATGAACATGATTCAATACAAGCCTCGCCTGCAAACTTATTATGCCTTAATCCCGACTGTTTTGCTTTCCAAGAACAACGACACGTTGGACCATCATTCATCTGATCTGGTTCATTAAAGCATAACTCGGTGTGAAGAGCAGCAGGATGCCTACTCTTTCGAGAACTCTACAACGAAAATGAAATTGGGAAAAAAAAATCAAACAATAAGGATTTAAAAAGCAACTCAGTCACGAAGTCATATTCTAAAATAGAAAATGATGCACCTCTCTTTTAGCGACAATACGATGCTTTTTTGCCTCGCTTAAATGTTCAAAGTCAATATCAGCATCTTCAGCTTCGGATGAATGTTCATCATAAATATTTTCTTCATCTGTTGGCACGTCACTTTCACTATAAGAATCTGTATCTGACAAATGGCCACCTGGAACCAGAATAACTTAATAATATATGCAAATAAAAATAAAGATGTAATGCGAAAAACCACTGACATTTGCAATTTACATGATATGCTGGAACTTCAGGAGGATCTAGCCTTGGTTGTTCTGCTTTTTTCATTCTTATGGGTCGTAAAACAAGATCTTCAAACTGAAAACGTAGCTTAAGTAACTCAGGTGTTGCGTAAAGATCGCCGTTTGCACCCTGAAAACAAAGAAGCATTGAAAGCTTTTTAAATCTAAAAGACTTACTTATGTGAAAATATATTTTACTCTTTTCGTAAAATTAAAAGAAAAAAGAAAACAGAAAAACCACAATTATATCAATTCTATATTGAAAATGCTTACACAAAAATATGATAAAACTGACCATTTCGTAAAATTGAGGTAGTTTTATAGTTTCAGCTTTGATATCACTAGTTTTCATTACCAACCGTTCAGTATCCACCTCAACATCTGTATCACTCATAGCGCTATCAGTTAAATCTTCCGCGATTAAATGCTGCCAGTGATCATTTGACTCGTCAGTAGAATTATCTAGAAAACGACATTGGACAGTTGTATAAATATTGCATTTTGCTTGTTAAGAATTTTTAGCAATATAATATCATAAATATATAAAATTTGATTAGACAAAAAAATTTACTGCTATCCGAACTGTGGTCTCTACTTTGAAACCTTTTGCGCTTTCTTCGACATCTCTTTTCTTTACGCTGCTCTTTTATTCTTGATATAGCTCTGAGTTCGCTATACTCTATTTTTGATAAACTGAAAAAAAAAATTCATAATTCATATAAATGCACTCGAGGAAGCTCAAGAGTATACTGCATTTTAAAAAAATCTTACTCAGTATCGCCTGCATGTTCATTTCCATAAGAATGATCTTCACTCACTTTCGATGATGTTTGTACTTGATCTACAATCTGAAAAAGGTTGATCCAGTAACAACTCTCGGTATTATTGAATATTTTCACCATTTCAGAACACAAAGTCAAAATATTCAGTTATGCGAAAAAAAAAAATAGAATTTATTAATTTATTTTCATACTCTAAGAATGCTGTCATTTCTCTTTCTTATCATTAACATTGGAAACTGAATGCAATGCATCAAGAAATCTGGAGAAGGAGAAAAAACCATATTTAGGCCGGAGAAATCGATAGAAGTAGAGAATGATGTCTTAGACAAACATTTCGCTAAAATCAGTTGGGGTGAATTGCATTTTTTTGCATCAAGTTCAAATACATGACATGAAAGTATCTGAACCGCGAGTACCCGAGATTTCAACTATTTGTTTAAATATTTTGCTAAATCATTAAGACATAACAAAAACATATGCTGATGAATTATGAGGAAACTAATGTTATCATTTAGAACATCAAACGTTAAAAGTTCGGCACACTTAGAAGATTCAGAGGATAGAATAATCTGTTTTTTTTAGCTATAAAATTTTATTTGGCTATATTAATCCACATTATAGTAGATTTCATAATTTAATTTGATCTCTAATGTTAATGGACTCATCGGATTGAAATTATTAAAGTCTAGAACTGAGAATTCTTTCAGAATTCAGAACTTTTTCATTTTTCGTACTAATAATTACCGGAACAAATTACTTAAAGATTACCTAATCTATACACCATCCACAGTCAATTTTAATTAAAAATTAAACGAAATCGCATACTAAACAACTTTCCGGTCCACCAATTTAAACGTTAAATGTTACATCTCGTCATAAGTTTATGCTTAGTTTTACTTAGCTTATACTAGCGAATGAAAGGAGTACAAAAAAATCGGAAGAATAAATTAAATGGAAGAACCTGTGTATAATAATTAAGAGAATGAAATTTGTGGCAGTGATTCTCTTAAAGTCTCTCTGAAACTATGCTTTCAAAGAGACTCGTTTTAGGCTGGTTTTTTTTGTTTCCGAAATCAGCACATGTGTAAAAAAATTCGTTTATTTCCTCTCAAACTGACCACACTTTTTTACAATCTTTCCACTGACCTTAAATAGCGTCCTCTATCTCCTAAATTTGGTTATCTCCTCTAGAATATCTCCCATCCCCAGGTACCGCATTTTCACTCATTTATTTTCCACTTTTATTCTTTTAGACCCTATGCAACCTTTTAATTTCTTTGCTTCCATAAAAACTTCTGCACTTCATCGAAACCTTACTGTGTTTTCTTCATGCTCTATCACTCTCTTAACTCTCTCTCTCTTCTCTCACTTAATACTCTTAATAACCATAATTTATTGGTAACATTTCCATAGAACTCCTTCTTATTTTAATATAAACACCTTATCAAACCTCAACAAGTTCATTTTTGAAAGCAGACAGTATAAGAATTCATTAAACCTATGTTTATTTCGTTGGTTCCAAAGACAGTATAAAATATACAGCAATATACTTAGCATATTAAGATGCCAAAACACTCTTTTGTTACAGGCCGCTAATATTTCTTAAAAACTCGTTAAACTGTTTTCAAAATCTCGCCGAAAAGCTTTGATATGTTCTAAAATATACCATGCTTATGGAAAATCTTCCTAGATCCTGTCATACATCCCATCAGCATCCCAAAAACTTCCCTGCATTTCTTGCCATAGTTTACTAGAGATGATACTTTAAAGCCTTTCTTATCTCTATCCCAGTGGTAGCCTTTTAATACCTCCACATCCAACAGATCACAAATCAGTATAGATATGGAAAAAGTATGATGGACTGGAGATGGAGGACTGAGGAGGGGGGGGGGGGGGGGGGGGGGGGGGGGGGTAGGGAGAATAGGAGAATTTAAAGAAAAATTGCAAAAATATTGAGAAGAGAGTATAAACGGATTTTGAACGAATAAGTGCCAATATCTGCACAATTTTGTCGAAATTGCTGGCAATTAAAGAACGTTCTTTATTCTAAAAACGAATTATTTTATTAAGGACCTCCCTAAGGTTCCGTTTAAGCTCTGTTTTACCCTCAATTGCAATATTCTTCTGAATCCGTATCCAAAGAACCATTATATTCTTTTGCTATAATCTATTACACATCTTGAAACTTCTTTTTGCCGCAATATTATCGCAACAAATTATACCCTCTTTCCAATATGCTTAATAATTTTTTCAAAGTCGCAAAGTATTTTTGTCAATGCAGCAATTACATATTCTAAAAGAAAAAGGACTGCATCACGATGAATGTGATACTGAAAGAATACAGCGTAAATTGAAAGCTGAAGATAATGTAAGGATGTCGATGGACTGCATCATAATTCGAGGTTTTAAGATAATATAAAATGTCATGAGAAAATACCAGAGGAAGAGGGGAAGGGGGAAGAGAGGGGGACGATATCCTTTTTGAAAGTAAATGAATAAAGTAAATAAATGTTTAAATGAACGTGATATAATTACCAATTGTTCATCACTCGATCGCACTGCAACATTTGATCCACAATTCTGCACAATTTTTATTGCATCCTTATTTAGTGGTCGGAATCCAGAATGTACTATAAAAATCACGATATTTTATGCCTCATAGACAATTCGTATGATTGTCACTACAATAAATTTACCAGATCCACTAGTTTCACAAAAAAACTCGTATTACGAAAGTTCTGTGAATAAACTCTAAAAATTATAATTGAAATCTGTAGACATGACTTTACCATTATGCTGCTTCCATGCAAGATTTTGTCGATGATTCCAGTTCATACGAGGAATATTGGTTAGAAATGGCCGGGGTAACAAGCTATTTGGGTTCTAAAAATGTTCTTTTTTGAAATTTTATTGACTTTGTTGCTAGAGATATAGCAAATTAATTAAAAAAACAAGAAAAAAAAACGGAATAAAAATAAACTAATCTAAATTGTTCAAAATGACAAATGTATGCAAAGAAAAATAAAAATGGATTAAGAAAAATTATAATTTTAAAATTTAGAATTTTAATGGAGTAAAAACAAAAAAATGCATAGAGAACAACTTGGTTCGTTCCCTGACTGGGAATCAAAGGTGTTGCTCCAATTACTGGTGGAAGATGAAAAGAAAAAAGAGGCTGTTGGGGCATTACACCCCTTGCGCCAAGAAAATTCACTGACCCTGAAATTTTTCATAGAATTCAATAGACGAATTATTTAAGCTGAGTAAAATAAGAGTAAAGCTGCCATTAAAAGTGAAATCTGCATAGTGCTGGAGACACCTATAATTCCTTCCTCTGGCAAAAGCATCTGATCCTGGCAACCGATGAAAAAATCACAACTCTTGCAAAAAGGAAAATAATGGAAGTTGTATTTTGGGCACAACAATATAGCACAATAAATTCTTCGCTAAATATTACAAAGATCTGCTTGCAAGCGAAACTTCATATTTGTTTCTTTAACTTCTTAAGAAAAAATATCGTGTTTCACAGGAAATATTCGCAAACCTAAGTAAGGAAACGACAATGGATTAGTTAAAACAAGAGGTTGTATAGATTGACTTGCTGCACTGAATTTTCGTTGATTATGACTACCAGGAACCATATTAACCATATTATTCATTACCGTGACACTGAAATCTAAAAAATTATATAAAAACTTATCTAGTTGCATTTTTTACGGCCAGGACAAAAAGAGTAATAACAGCAAAGAACCTCGACCTCAACAATCTTATTTCCAAACAAATAAAAATGCTTTCAAAAACCCATATGCCTTTAAATTTTTGCGAATATTGTGCAAACCTTAAATGTTCATGCATTGACTGATAAATAGTATTTACATTAGATTATTATTAGATTACGGCCATATGCATTAGAGTACAGCCATAAAAATGATATCACGGTCATGAAGTTGTTAGCCTATTGGCCAATATATTGTCGATACGCCGTTAGTTTCTGGAACTGGATTAGATTGAATTTCTCAACGTTGAAGAAAAAAGGTGGCTTGGAACCTTTCCTTGATTAAGGTGCATTTCACAATCCAGTTCGAGCAATCAACATATAGCTGATTAAACACTTGCATGCGCCGCGATAGGAACGATTTTCAAGTACGGAACTATTCCAACGACGACTGAAGATGTAATCAGTCTGGTTGAAGCATTAATTATCCGAGGAGTTCCACGTGATTAGATATTTTTTACGATGCCGGAAGCAAGTATTAGTAATAAAAAGTTCATCCTCTTCGGCATAACGAAGAAGGCGCTTCCCGCTGGCGCACCGGTCTCCGATGCCATATTTGCCAATTGTCGAGATCATCGCAGCGGCATTATGACCTACGCGCGCATTCCATTTTTCCATTTTTCCCCGATTATGACCATGTCATGTTTCGGTAAAGACTTTGTTAACAGTTGAAGTTCTGTATAGAAGTTATTTTTATTACGTTCATCTGTCGGCAGCTGATGACCAAGATATTGCAGAACTTATTTTTAAAGCGGGCATAGGCCGTACGGTCCATACCGCTTACCACTCAATCAAAGTTGAATAGGCATTTTCAGAAATGGCACTCGTTAAGCCATTTCACTCGAGTTATCCGAAGCACAGCAGTGATATAGCTAGTACCTCTACTCCGAGCCAGGATTAGTAATTACTCGAGACTCGAGATGAAGAAAATGGACCTCTGACAAGCAGACAATGTCCACACTATATTTAGAAAGGGTGTGGTCAGTGATCACTTGGCTTGCAACGTCCATAATCGTTCTGATGCTCCACGCTGATACGGCTAATATCTCACTGCGCATGCAGAAAGCCGTTACCCTTGATAGGATTTGAGCAATTACTCTGGCTTGTGAGCACATTTTATCAGTATTGTAATTGTTTTACGCCCGGCCTGCATATTTATCACATTTATCATCGGACTTGGAGTATCATTCGCGTCTGAAGATGCGGACGCCGTATCAAGAATATCTAACCCTTCCTCCATAGAGTCACTTGGAGATAACGTTATAGGTGGGTCCCCAGCAATCATCCGGATTTTTGATATTACAGGTTACTCCTGTCAAAGAATTTATAATATTATTGTAAATTTTATTTACGTATATATATGTATATATATATATATATGTTTATGTTTATGTATATATACATATATTTATTTATTTATTTATTTATTTATTTATTTATTTATTTCTAATCTTTGCTTTTAAATTTAGACTAAGAAAAAGAAAAGAAAAAGGAAAAAAAACTTAGCTCTCGTAATTGATAGTTTTTTTTTTAATAGAAACTCTAAAAAATATAATCCGAAAAAAAAAATTAAGCGGAATGGCTGGAAAAATCTACGAGGCAGTCGAATTTTCAGGGCTCATATGATGCATTAGGATATTATAGCTAATACTGATAGGACCTTTTATGTTAAAATAACTTGAAAATTGGAATGTCTAGCACCTCGATTTTTAGAGAAAAATTAAAATTTAGATAGTTTGATTTTAACCATTTTAGACTAACCTATGATTAGAATTGTTAAAATAGAATTATTAAGGTGAAATAAAGAAGTCCAATGCTACATATCAGAACAAATTGTTTATGTCTTCAATTGTTTATATCCACATATTTTTTTATTTCTCATTGGGTTTGACTGTTAGCATTTTTGTGGCAATTATGGCTTCGATATATACAATTTATCTTCATAATAATGAAAGAAAATAAAATGATAACATTGTGTTATAGCCAAATATGAAACCAGTGTCGAAGGATATTTCACTATAAATCTACTCAAATAATTTTCCTAACTTAATTAGCTAGACGAACCGAGGTAAACTAATTAAAGAAAGGCAAAAAACCCGTAAAACATGACCTTAACTATTTGTGCCCTGTAATTCAAAGGATGGCTTAGAGAGAAAAATTATTCCAGGCATGTTGCTCGATAGAGATGAGAGAGATCATTCCTGCTTCTTGATATGACTTAAAAAACGAAATAAGAGTGCTAATGGGGAACGACATGCACTTTTATCTACAAATGAAGTGACGAATGCAACCAGGCGAGAAATCAGAAACGGCGACTTTATATTCCGAACAGTGGCCACATTATTTTCGTTTCGCTTGTGCATCACAGATTGAAGACAAAAATTTTTTTTTAAATCAAAAAATTTATGAAATTCCACCGCTTTTAATCAACTTATGTAGGATGGACCGATACGTATGTAAGGCTAGGTTACTCAAAAACATCATAGAAATTCTTTCCTTCCCTTGAAGGATATTACTCTTTTTCTGTTGAACAATGCTTCTCAATCTTTTTTTAGATTACCTTGTTGAGAGGGTTGCTATCTCTGTGAATCAGAATCCCTTCATTCAGAAAGCTATATTTTTCTTAGTATGCCAAATAATGAACTTAATAAATATTACAGTTCATATGTAGATGAATTTTATGTCAATATTCGTATATAGCGAAGACCTTTACTTTAGAGATAACAACTACTTAATATGAAATGAAGATAATAATAACAAAAAATTGAAGAATTACGAAATTAGGAAAGCAAAAAGAATTAGGAAACGAAATTATAGAAAAATACACACAAGCCATGTACATAAAAAATCTCTTTCTCACCCTCCCCTGTGGGCGATAAGAGTCATTAACTACTTCGAGATCTCTACCACAAGCTAAGATTCTGTACAATGCCTTAGATGCTTCTAGTAGTGCCAAAAAAATTAATTTCGATTCTCAAAAAATTATTAATGAAACAAGAACACAAAACACATGTCCAAGTGACGCACTTCTTAGCAGTGCATTCTTCTGGACAGAGGCCTCTGATGATGTTGCTCCTGGAATCTGTTGAAGCCATTTTTCCGTCTCACATCTCATATTCCGTCTTCATATTCGTTCCTGTTACTTTGGATTAATATATCTATTACCAGTGC